TCTCTCTAGCTAACAACTCTCAATGATAGGTGTGGAATCCACGAAAAAAAATTATCTATTGGTTGTTGATAATATTTGACAATATGGATTGTATTCATGCTAATACACTGAATTTTGTCTATTCCACGATGCCATGATTAGAAAAAACAGCGCAAAAATACACTGAATATGTAGGTGTTATGTTTTGTCCATTGTATTTTTTTTTTCCGATGAAGGCAAGTTACTTTTCAAAGCATTCTACTTTTATGACCCTTTGAAAATCTATCTCTTATATCTATAACTTTTTCACATTTAGATATTTTACTTTTAATCTTTTTCCTATTGAAGACATTATATTTTAAAAATCTAACTAGTTTTAGCATTATTATACTTTCCTCTCTATTTTCTTTTTAATGTGATTTTATTTTTAGGAGAGACATCATCTGATCAGGATGAAAAGTATTTTAGCCGGATTTTAAAACTTGGTATTTTCTTCAATTCAATTTGTTTAGGACAAATTATGTTATGATAATATTATAGATTATAAATTTAGCAAGGTAGAATCTAGATTTACCATGCTTGTTTACTCATTTTAATATTATTGTAATGTAATATTGTCTAACAACAACATATAAAAAGCCACATTTATGTATTCCCACCTTTTTTATTATTATCATCATCTTACAAATCCTTTTTTGACAGAACAACTAATTGGAGCAGTTGAGAGCATCTACAAATCTGGAAAAAAAAAGCTAAATGACTTTCCATTATCCAATGTCATTGCCAAGGTAAGAAATCAACTATCTCATTATACTTTCAATAGTTTCTTCCTATTAAAATAATCTACTATTATTTTACCCTTATAGATTTAGTTATAGCGTTACTTTTTCAAGATTTAACCTGCTAAGAAATTCTACTTTTTTATTTCCCTGATAAATAACACATTTGAAAATTATAACCTATATTATTACATTTTCAAGATTTAACCTATTAAAAATTCTACTTTTTTTTTTCTTGATAAAGAGCACATGAAAACTTTAATTTAAGACATTGTACTTTGGGATTTGAAGCTTGTCTGATACTGATTACCAATTATAGCATAATACTTTCCATTATTTTTTCCTTAGATATTGTTATTTTAATTACCTAAAATAGATTAGTTTAAAAATCCAACAAGTTTAACATTATACTTTCAAAATCTAACCTATCAAAACATTATACTTTTATTATTTTTTTGATTAAGACATAGCAAACTTGTTTGATTTTGTTTACTAATTATACCATATCCCATAATTTTTTGCTAATAAGACCTATAATTTAACTTTTTTGATAAAGACATTGTAGTTTGAATATCAAATTGGTTATAACATTTAATCTTCACTTATAACATTGAAAAACTAAGTATGTTTTTATTTCCATTTAGAGCATTATAACTTCAATTTTCTTATTATTAGGACATTGCACTAGTTTCTTCTCTTATTAAGACGTTATACTTTCAAAATCTAACTAATTGTAACATTATACTCTAAATTGTAACATTATATTTTCAAAATCTAACATCATAAGAGATTGTAGTTTCAAGTACATTCTACTTTCAAAATCTAAACTAGTTCAACTATGGTTATATATTTAACATCATACTTTCATTTTTTTTTTTTTCATATTACAACATTATATTTTGAAAATATGATCAACTATAGTATTATACCTTCAGTTACATTGTATAGTCTCACCATCTAACCTATTAAGATATTTTTCATATTAAAATGGTTTCCTATTTAGATTTTATTTATTTTTATACATTGAAGTTTAACCATTTGTATACATTATGATTTTTTGTATCTGGTGGTGTCATCAGGGCTTCTGAAGGCACATTTACGGTGTGTAAGTTAGTCTTTTTACTGAATGCATCTCACTTTTAAGCTGCATCTTTTTACATGGGACAACTTTCTAGGGCTATTTTCTAGAAGGGCATTCATGTCTTTTGCACACACGACAAATCGAGAACAAGTCCCATGTCCCATTGATATCTGTCTTTGCTTCCAAACACTGAATTGTAAATACATTGCACAGAAGCTCTTGAGCGTGCTGGTTCAGTTCTTTCAGGTAATTTACATATCTTGATGACATCATATATCAGTCTAATTACAACTATCAAAATAACTTATTTTCCTTTTTTATTTCTTGCATGAATTTTCACTTCCCCTACATCAAACTGTCTTTAATTTTATTAACTTTATTTTCTGTTGTGTAGTGGTGTAAAGATGGTGAATCAACTGACTGCTAGCTTGAGTTCATATAGCATCAGCAGCTGATGAAGCAATGGCCTTTGGAGCTCGATTAGATTTAGATACAAAAATCTTGTTTAATGTCATAAAAAATAAATAGCGAAGGAACATCTTGTTATGTCTTCTTTATTAAAATGTTAACTAATAAACATAATGGGATTAAGTTTCCATTTTATGTGTAGAGTTTGTGAAAGTTTTGTTTCCATTATTGCAGGATGTTTGAGAATCGAGGTCCTCACAAGATTATACACCCTTATCTGCACTTGATATCTTCGTGAAGGATCTGGTATGACTAATATCCATCTATGGTTCTTTTTTTTACTCAAAAAATTGACCTTATGATTAATTATACCTTTTGTATAATTAATCATTATTTATTTACCACACTTTTTTCAGGGTATTGTGGCTCGTGAATGTGCAGTTCCACTTCACATTTCTACTGTTGCACTCCATTTGTTCTTATCAGGTAGTTTATGTGACAAAAATGATATAAATTGTTTTGATAGAACTCAAATGTTTATATAACCGGAGTTTTCCATTTCTATGTTCTGCTTCTGGATGGGGACGCTTAGATGATTCAGCTGCTGTTAAGGTAATTAAGCTACTTAGGTCATTATATTGCAAAAAATCTAGCTAAATATCTCATTGTACTTCCATTTTTCTTTTAGGACATTAGACTTCAAATTAATGAAACCATATTGTTATTTCTTACACTTAACCATACATATATCCTTTTATTTGAGCAGGTTTATGAGACACTAACTAACAGGTGTCAAAGTAGAAGGAAAAATTACTGTGATTAGTAAAACAACTACTTGAAGACTTAAACTGTATAATAACTTGAAGTGCAGAACCATTTTGTTGTTTTGTGATGATATTTAGGAAGCAACTTTCGTTTCTTGTTGATTAATGAGGGATAGGAAATAGTCCTTCATTCAACTTCTAAATATTCTTCTCATTTTGCAGCAGAGGGAGGGGGGAAGGATAATAATATTCATCTTGCACTTTCATTGTTTTAATTCTTGGATTCATAATTAACAAAGATAGTGTTTGTTCATTTCAATTCATTATGATAGGTAGAAGATGTTCATCCTAAAAGCACCTATTTGACACCAAGATCTTGTATTTACATGGTAACAAAGTCTGCATCTTTTTTTATTTTATCTTTATAAAATGATGTTATAGAATCTTTATTGATTTTGATTTTTTACAGGTATTGAATTCAGCTTGGGAGGAAGGTTTATGTGTAGCTGGTGAAAATGCGTTTCCATGTTTTGATAGGGAAGTGTTGATGAGATTACTTGAGAATGCAAAACCGAGTAATGATCCGGATCATCATCATTTTGTGTTTTTTAATTATAAACCACCATTTCCCATTTTGCCCTTGCTTGATACAACATTATGCTTCTCAGAACTTGACCAGTTTGTTAGATGCATGCATGGTGGTACATACTACATCTTCCTCAACCTCTTGTTTTAAATAACTTTTTTTTGCTTATGGACGTGAAGTTTTTGATATTTTTTTTTCTTTTTTTGTAGGAGAAAATGTGGGAACAGAAATAATGTTATAAGGTTCTTGTGGTAAGTTATAAATATAAGTTTTGGTCAACATTGACTTTATGCATATACCTGTTGATCATTTGGTGCATTTTGGTTGACTGGATTCAGGCTGATGACTTCAATGTGGAAGCAGCTCAACAAGGAATTGTGTACATAGATGAAGTTGATAAGATAACTAAAAAGGTCTTTTATATATATATATATATATATATATATATATATATATATATATATATATATATATATATATATATATATATATATATATATATATATATATATATATGTTTTTGACAAAATTGCAAAAATGGTCCCTGTGGTATGTATTTTTTTGGGGTTTTAGTCCAAACCCCGACTTTTTTGGATTAGTGGTCTTTTTGAGCTAGTTTTGTTGCGGATTTGGTCCCTCGGTAAACTGAAATGACTTTAATGCCCCTCGTGTATTTATTTTTGATTTTTCTTTCAGTTTTTTAATTTAATATATATTTATCTATTTTGATAATTAATAAATAAAGAGAGGACCCTCTCTCTCTTTCTCTCTCTCTCTCTCTCTCTGATGAGAAATAGAAATCAATAGATAATGAAACTAAAGAGAAACAGGAAGAATCAGAACCTCAAACAATCCCAGGGAATCTCCCTCTCTCACTAGTTAAATGCTAAGAGCCAAGAACATTGAACAATACTAATCGACATCCCCCATTGGAAGGGTAACCTGGATAACCCCATTCTAAACGGTTGTTAAACAGAGTCGTTTTCTCCCAAGAGTTCCGTTTGGACTCCATCATCGTTCCCCCGTTCTTTTCGTCAATTCTCGGCAGCAGGGGTGGTGGTGGTGGTGATGGCGGCGGCAATGGTGACGGAGGCGGCGGTCTACTAATTGGAATCATCACTTGCTTTGCTGCTTCCTTTTTTCAATTCCAAATTTAATCTCCGTAAAATACTTCTCATAATCTCCCGGTTGCTCCATTCCTACAATCCAGGTATTTAGATACTTTTCGTTAAGGTTGAGGGTGGATTGGATTGTAAACTTCTCTTTCATTCCGTCTTGATTCGAGATTAAGCCCATTGGCTTTCCATATTTTTCTTCTTCAATGGTCGTTAGTGGCAGTGGTGATGGTAGGCACGATGTTAGGTTTGGCGGTAGAGTCTGAGGGTTTGTTTTGGATTCCGATTCTACTCATAAACCCCCAATAATACTTCATCTCCATCAGGTGGTGATATTTCGTTGCTTTCACGATCTATTTCATCCAAAATCATTGGAGATGTCACCGAAGGCAAACCCAACGATGCGACCTGAACGACACGTGAAGTAGTATGAGACTGGAAACTGCTAACTATGCTAGACGAATCCCTAGAAGCATCATCAACCACCGACTTTGGTAATGTCCCAGTCGGATCGGAAACAATGCTAATATCTGAGAAAAACTCTTGATTCTGTTGCTTCATCCAATCAAGCAGTACTTCACGAAACGCAACCTCTTCTACCCGTTCTGAGGCCATGGCGGTTCTGATTGAGGCCATAGATGTCCTGATTTCCTGTATGTCTTCGTGAATCCTTGCTATTTGCTTATATCATGATGATCCAGACGCTGAGAGACAGATCTAGTTTCCACCACTGGTTGCACCATTGTTACTCAACTCCAACAGGTCAAGGCAGGTCGGACCAATGATGAGAAATAGAAATCAATAGATAATGAAACTAAAGAGAAACAGGAAGAATCAGAGAAGAAGAAGATGATATCATTAAATCTAATGAAATGAATTACAAACTATATTGAATGAAGCAAGAACCTCAAACAATCCCACGGAATCTCCCTCTCTCACTAGCTAAATGCTAAAAGCCAAGAACATTGAACAATACTAATCGACATCCCCAAAATGAAATTACTCTTCCCTCTTTATTCTACTCTCTCTCTCTCTAACTGACTTTCTAGCCACTTTCCATTTTTGCCCTTCTGCCCCTTCTAGAATCACTCTCTCTCGTTGAACCACCACCGGAGGTGGAAATCGGCTGCCGAAAAAGTGCAACAACCCTCCTCCACATCTTTCTCTTGTCAAGTAATAACCCCAACACCCTCTTCTACACAGATACTATCTCATTCGCTCCGAAAGCTACCAAAGACGAAGAACAAACCAAGAAGGGCTCGTCGGAGACGCCTACTGCGACCTCTACCCCGTCTCTTCCTTTCGTCGAGCAAGCACCTCCGACGCCCCCTGGAACCGTCTGTCATTACAGCCTTTCCTCCTCCCCCCTATTTGTTTCCGATAACGAGGACTCGACTCCTCCCCCTTCTTGTCATTCGGAACAGCCCAAGCACCACCTGAGAATCACCGCTCCTTCTGCCATTTCCGTTCGTGATTTTTGTCGGATTCGAAAAACAGCCAAGGGACAGAGCAGCTTCCCTCACCACCACAGACAATTGATGTCTCCTCCGCCTCTTTTCCTTCGCGAATCGTTGCCGGAGATGGACGTTCACCCCTCACGATTTCATGAGCCACTTCGATCCCATCGTTGCTGCCGATTCGTTTCCTCTTCACCTGATCAGATGAAGATGCACCCCCTATTGATTGTTCGTGTGTGTGTCAGTATGTGTTAAAGTGAAAGCCTGTGAATTGATTTCCAAAAACAAAAAGTAGATCCTACCCTAAAGTATGAACCCATGTGAATCATTTTCCAAATTTTATGTGTATGTGTTGAAGAACCTGTGTATTTTCAAGTATAAGAAAAACGATTGTGTGTAATCAAGAGAGAGAGAGAGAGAGAGAGAGAGTGGGGTGTGGGCCAAGGTTGTCAAGATCGGGATCCTACCTAGGATCGTTTTTGGGTTTGCAAAATCGGAATCGTAAGATCGGGATCGAGATCCTAAGATCCCACAAAATAGAATATATTTTTAATTTATAATATTAATCATAAAAAATATTTCAAACATTTAATTTTTCGTTCAAAAGTTATAAAAACTTTAAAATATTAGTCATAAGTCACAATAAAAATGATAAATGGTAGATTGGTAAAGGGTAAAAGACATAAAATTGTAAAAAAAATTCATTTGAAAAAAAAATTAAAGGAAGGTAGGATCGGATCGGATCTCGATCCTACGATCCTACCTACGATCTTACGATCCTACCTGCGATCCTACCCAAAATACGATCCTATTACGATCCGGATCGTTTTTCATACATAGGATCGTAGGATCGTACGATCCTACGATCAGGATCGCGATTTTGACAACCATGGTGTGGGCCCCATTTTATTATCAATAAAACATTAAATTAAATAGACAAAAATATAAAAAATATATTAAGAGGGCAATTTAGTCATTTCAGTTTTCGGAGGGATATTTTCACATACAAACTAGTCCAAAATGACAAGAAAGACAAAAAAGTCATGGTTTGGACTAAAACCTCAAAAAAAAATGCATACCACAGGGACCATTTTTGCAATTTTGTCTATGTTTTTCGGTAAAAAGTTATAAATATGTATGCAGGCTGAAAGTTTAAATAGTGGCATATGTACATTCTTGATTGTTTATTATTTAAAGTTGTAAAGTATATAAAATTTGATTTTTATTATTCAGATTGTTAATGTTCCTGATAATCGAGCTGGAAAGCAGCCTCAGGGTGATGGCATTCAGGTCTTTTATTTGCCTTAATGGCTAATGTCTAATTTACCCTTTTTCTTTAAAATACTGATTAGTAATTCATGTTGATTGGAATATTTTCAGGTGGATACTAAAGATATCCTTTTTATATGTGGTGGGGCCTTTGTTGATCTCCATTTCTGAGAGATTCAGATAGGGAAGATTGTGCATGAAAGCTGGCATGGACTAATCAGGTCTTGCAGGAACGTAGGTGCCAATTAAAGATCTTATCAGTCACAATAATTACTAAGTTTGGTTTTATAAAGCATTTTTTGTCCCTTATTATTTCACCATTTTCCTTATCTAATATTTTTGATTGTTTGATGGGAATTCTAAAAAAAAAAAAAAAAAAAAAAAAAAAAAAAAAAAAAAAAAAAAAAACTCTCATCAATAAGAATTTAAGGTTTGTAGTATTTCTTATTAATTATAAGAAATTTGAAATGTCTTAGAGATACCGGAGGAGACACCAGTCTTTACATGGAGAAATGTTAAACAGTTGAGTTATATGAAATTCTTACTGATTTTCCATTGGATGTTTATTGTCTTTCATTGATTTAAAATTCAATTTTTTTTACTGTTAAAATGCTTTCAAGTAAACATTTTTTTACTGCTAAAATGCTTTCAAGTAAACATCTTTGGCAGATGACAACATCAACAAGATCCAATCTCATATTCTCATGTTTTCGTGTAAGCAAATTAAACCCAACTCCTTTATTTTAATTATTTTGAATTTGGATTATTAATGAAAATTTTAAATGGAAGAGTTTTACTTCCAACATGGGGCAGTATTTATTTTTTATATGTGTTACAAATATTAAGTGACGGACTCAATGGGATTTGACAGTTCATTTTCAAGTTGGGTTGCCCCTGGACCAGAAGAGAAAGTGAAGTGCCCGCCATTGAAGTAGTATGCTTCAAGTAAAAAGCATATTGTTATTTCTTGCATTTAATCCAACATAAACCTGATTACTAATCTGCCCTGGAAGTTTTATCTTTTCTTTTCATTGTTTTTAAGATCAAAAGTTCTCAGATAATGATGCATTTTTTGCATGGACATTTGTAAACAAGCAACCACTATGGCAAATACTTTCATCATTATCATGTCCTATTTCGACTCTTCCAATTTGCTTATACTCTACTCATGTGTGAGGCAACTACTGCTTATATTTTGCCTTCTTTTGGGTAAGCATATCATTTAGTTTCGTCATTCTGTGTGACAAGATTTAGATGCTACCTCCTATTTGATTTTTTTTTATCAAATAAAAGATTCCAAAGTAAAAGCCTTAAAAATGAAGGATGTGGTGTTATAAAAGTTAAGTAATTAGGCGGGTCTCGATTATTGAAACTAGTTGCGCTTATTAATTTATTATTATTTTTTTCGACTTTTAGGTGTATGTGGTGATTTACAAGATTGGGGATATGTTATGTTGACGGCTCAATTGATACGGGGTGAATTCAACTGAGATAAACGGATCCTAAGACTTGATGTCAGCGGAAGTAGTTTATGTTACTTTCTCTGAATCATTTACGCTTAAAAAAACTTATAAGAAAAGTCACATTTTTAAAGTTAAATATTTTTGGGAATGACAAGCTCAGAAAATCCATTTGTACACCAGGGATGGTTCTTTAGTTTGGTACTAAATTTTTTTACTTATTCACTTATTTCCATAATTTATATTTATAAAATATTCATTAATGTACTTTTTTTACAAATAGGTTTCGGAAGTGACTCAGCTAACCTTCATTTGTCTCACAATCATGAGCAAAATCAAGTTGTATATACTGGAACTCACGATAATGACACGGTGATCTTGATTTTCTTATCATCAAATACAATTATATATAAGAAATGATTTTTAACTTTTTTTTTTGTTATAGATACGAGGTTGGTGTGATGTCTTGCAGCAAGAAGAAAAATGCAATGCGAGTGAGTGTTCTTAAGTTTCGACACTGCAATCTTGTAAAATTATTTCCAGACAATAATTTATTTATGTATTTCAATTACTTAATTATTTATCGAAGAAAGAACAAAAAGAAATTGAATCAGCGCCAACGGGCGCGCATAATTCCTATCTAGTTTCTATTAAATGTGAACATGATACTTTTAAAAGCAACATATTAAGACATTATATACTTTGGATATCTAAAATTGTCTGATTTAGGTTATCAAATATAGTCTTATAGTTCAAGTTTTTAAGTTATTGTATGTTGATGATCTAACCATCTATAACATTATACTTTATATCATTATATTTTTGAAATCCAACATTTTACTTTCACGTGTTTTTTCTTAATAGAACCTTGTCCTTTGAAAATGTAACATATTTAAGTTCATATTTTCTCCTTTTAATACATCGTATTTTGAAAATCCAACCAATTTTCGCATTAGAACTTTGTACTTTCACAAATCTAACCAAATATGGCATTAAACTTAAAACTTCTAAAATCTATGTAGCACTAGTAATATTCTTCAGTTATATCTATATACCTTCTAACCATAAACACAATGAAAGTATAGCTTTACACTTGATTTTTTTATGTATTAAAACTTTATACTTTCACAAATTTAACCAAATATGACATTAAATTCTAATTTACTTTCAAAATCGTAACTGTTAAGAAGCTATTTTCAGTTTATTTCCCAATATGATATTAATTATACTTTGAAAATTGAACTTATTAAAATATTCTTTAAAAGATGATAAGAATATAGCCCAATCCAATGTAACACAAAGTTATAAAACTTTGAAAGTTAAAAAAAGTTTTTGCGTAACTACGGAAAATAACCAAAAAGTTCTTGACTCAACATCTAAACCCTATTAAAAAACTGGTTAATAAAAAATACAAATGAGAACATATAAAAAACAATTCTACTTAATATGTGCATGGCGTAACTAATTGTTTTTAATACATCCAGATGCTCGTTCTAAATCAATAACAAAATCCCATAACTTTAGAGAGAAGTCAATGGCTCCAGATCCAAGCACGCTTGAACACATTACTGTTGTTCATAATCCGGTTGAGTTTTAATTATATATAACAGTGAATCATTTTTTAGTTTTTTATTTATTTTATATTTTTCAGCTAACTTATTCTTTACTTTAATTTTTAATTAAATCACATTGTTTATAAGCTAAGAATTAGTTTTTTTTACTACACAATATGAAATCCATAGGGTACCAGTTGCTAGATGCAACTTTCTGTCCACTTAGCATTTTCTAATAGTTTTTATTTTTTTTTTCTTTTATTTTCTAAAAACACATGTAATTTTTCTTTTAGATTTAAATAAATTATATTTATACTTTCGTTTTCTAATCAATAATCTAATTCCTAAATTTTTAGGATACATATATATCAATTGCCCCGAATTTATTTAGGCACCGACTTATTCAGTTCGATGCATTCCACAAGAAATCAACATGTCTTCTCCAAATTTGAAAACGATTACTACGTACATATATTCTTTTGAAAACTCCATGTGTATTTCATATACACCTCAACAACACAATTTTTAGAAGAATCCATGTTTCTTTTCTGCACGACGCTATCGATTTGAAGATAATTTCAGTCGGTATTTTCTTTTAATTTTTAGATTCTAATCTGATTTCGCGTATTTTGCTTCTGAAAGTTTGTATATGTACGTTTCTAAAACAAAACAACTATGACTGCTTCAATTTTTGGCAATCTAGCTTTCTGGATTTTCATAAGTACTAAAATTTTATTGATGAAGTGTTCATATATTTAAGGATGTTCCATGTGTGCATGGTACTAGATTTTCTGAAACTATGTTTGAAGAAGAGTCTTCCAGGTCGATCGAAAAGGTTTTTGTTTTTTCTTCTCATGATTTGCATAGTTGTTACATACAAACTGTCTTATAATACATATTTTCATTGATCGTTTTTTGGTTTTTTCAACCTAATGATTCAGAATAAGATCAAAGCAATGACCTAGGCATATTAATGCTTTCGAACTCATTGCAATGTCAACTTTCTTCGATCCCTCCAGGTCTTTGGATAAATTTAAGAGGTAGATGATTCAATCAGATTTTTTCACTATTTCTAACCAATCTAATCATTGCGTTCCTAATATGATCCTGATGTAACATAAAGTTCATAATCTAGAAATATATAAGTATAAACTCATGGGGAAGTGGTCACTGGACCGTAAACACATACCAGGGTCACTTTAGGACCTTAAACCCACCCAAACACTTGTTTAAGCTTTGGAGCACTTAACCACTTAAGCCCTTAGAGTTTTAAGCCTCTTTTGGTGACCAATTGAGAGTTTACAGCCAGGAGTAAACTCCCCTGGGCCGTAAACTCCAACAAACATGGTCATTAGACCATAAACTCCCGTATGAGGCCTTGCACTCCTTTGTTGCAACCCGATAGTCTCCTAACACTTTTACCAAAGTGTTTTCCTCACATTAGGATGTTTATACATATTTAATTAGTGTTATAATCACTAATTGTTTATATACATATGTCTTCATATGTTATTAGGCTCATTGTGTGTGTCTAAGTCTTCACTTGACACCAAGCACTTATCTGATACTTCCTTCCGATCCGCTCATTGCAGGTGAGTTCATACCCCTTAAATTAACCTTTTAAATGTTTCTAAATGTTTTTAAATTCTTTATGGGGGGAATACAAGTTGAATCATGCTACTTATTATATCAATCACATGTGATTAATAACTAACATGCAAATGGATTTACTATACGTTAGCTGTTTGACCAAACAGATTGCTTCAAATGTTTTCCTTAAATGTTTTTATATGTTTAAAACTCTTTATCAAACTGCTTTATACACTGTATATTTCTTTTCAAACTCTGTTACAAATGTATTTCAAACAAAGGTTTTCTTTATACTTAAACTGTTTATTCAAACAAAATACTTTCAAACCGTTTTATAAACTGACATCAAGTCGATCTTTTCTTAGATATTAATCTTTTTCAAAGGTTTTACAAAAATTCTTTTATGCTTTTAAATTATCAAATGCATGTCCATATATGTATAGTTATATAAGTAATGTTTAAAGGACTTAGGAAGGCTAACTCACTCTATTTCATTTTCCTCGTTGGGATGTGGCTATAGGGTATCAGTTATCCGTCCGAATGTCATCTAAATATTAGTTATATATCA